GAGAGAAATGAAACATTCATTTTTGGAGGTCTTAACGATGTGAAAACAGAACATGTACACAGCTATCTCTCTATTATTTGTCTTTATTTTAATCATGCTTATGTAAAACTGAAATACAACAAGAAAGCAAGTTGATTATCCTGCAAAATAATTAAGTGTCATCTGAATCATCAGAGAATTCAATTATATTATGCCTCATTTTGTTGGAGTATATTATGATCAAGTTTTTGGAAATTCTATAAACCACATAGAGTATGTATCATAATTCTCTATCACCCTCCTTATTTACTCATTCCACATGATACCAGCACCATGTGCCACAAGAGATTGGTTATGCCTGTACAAACACATGAGACATTAATGTTTCTGAATGGTAAATTCGTATGAATTAATTTGTTATGGTTTCAGAATATTTTTCCTGATTCAAACTGTGCGTGTATGTGTATTTAAGGACAATTGTGGATGTTGATAATGAATGAAGTTAACAAGAAAAATTACATATAAAAATTTGGGTCTTAAGGAATTTTCATGTATTTTTCAACATGAAGTTGAAAAACATTATACTCATGCTTTCTAGATGTCTTAAAATGAAAGTCATACTGCTGCCTTTTAGGTGGGTAGTGGATTGTCTGGAGGAGACCAAATTCTTACTGTAACATTTGAATGAGTCACTGATTTAATTTGCCAAAAATGCAAAACTTTATGGGAAGTAAGACAACCACAGGGGGATGAGCAGTTGCAGCCAATGTTCATGAGGCTCAACTTTGCAACTATGATTCTCTTATGAGGGACGCCAGATCTAGAAGGCTCTTTTCTTCCTCATCACAATCTTATTTTATTCTATGCTTCCCTCGCTCTTAAAGAACTTGTACTAGCCATCCCTGCCCTTCCATTTAAGGGAATATTTACATTGATTTCTCCTGGTTCTTGAATAGCACCACCATGTCCTTATCAGTGGAGAGAAAGCAAAGCGAATTCTCAGTTGTCCTGGGACAAAAGCTTAGTCCTTGTATTTCCAGAATCAAAGACAGTTCATTTCCCCACATTCAATTCTGTGATTTCGATTTAATATTCTTTTACCTGGGTGATGCTGATGCTGAATTTAATCTAAGGGCGACAATCGGAAATGCGTTTCCCTGCACCAACCTATTGTTATTGCCTCTAAAATATATTTGAAAGTGCAGTAAATCTTTAAGATAATGGAAAGAAAATGGAATTGAGTGTCAAAAGATGTCCTGCCTCTCTACTGCTTGCTATCTTCATGACTTTAAGCAATCTCCTTAAAATCTGAGTCATTGCTAAAATGACAATGAGAGTAACAGACCTGAGAGACTTGCTTGGGAACCACACAAACAGATGAATGTGAAAATATGTTTTATAAGTCACAATACACCAGAACCATGTCTATTCTTATGCATATGACAAAAGTTTTTTTTTAAAAATCAGCAATTCAAAAATAATACTAATCACTTAATAAACGTACAGTCTTTGCACGACAATTGTACCATAGTCCTGGAAACATTAGAATACGATATATGTCTGGGTTTTTCCCCTGAGAGTAAGCATAAAAATATTCAAATATTTCAAAAATATATTTGTATCCATAGATTTAAAAACATAGCTTTTATTCTTTTACTATTATCATTGTTTGTGTATAAAGTCTTATAATTACTTCTTTTTAAACCTAAAATTAACATATCTTCTTTTCTTCCAATTAACTCAATTGAGTACCAAATTATTTTCTTAAAAGCTTTCTAAACTGATATTCTGTAATGACTCACGCAAGAAAATACCTTTTCTATTCAGAAGTCTGCACCTCTATTTTATTCTTTAGTCAACCACATAACTCACCACACAGCTTTAAAAATGTTTGCTGTATCAATCAACAACAGGCCAATCATTTCATTCATTCCTCCATTCAGGGAGTGCCCCAGGTATGTGGATGGTGGCAGTGGATTTTCTGTGACGCTTATGGTAGACCTGGTGATCAGTTTGTAAATATGTGAGAAATTTGTCCCTTCAATCTTATAATGAACTTACAGGCTTATCTCAGCCTGTGTTGTGGAAACCAAAGATCGCTAAAGGGCTTGGCAAACAACTCTTTGGATTTCTCACTCGTAAGGTGGAAACCTAAATACCTAACCTGAGCTTTCTTCTGGAAACCATGAAGTTGAAACCTCTGCTTTATTTCGACTGCTGGTGGCCTGACCTGTTAAATTGCTCTGCTAGTGCAGAAATACATGAGTCTAGAACGTTAAAGTAAAAGAATGAATAGTTCACACGCTACCGTAACAACCTCATGGCATTCCAGTGAACTCCCAGCTTCCTCTTGGTGGCCGTGCTATGATGATGCATTGCGACTTTGCCATGATGGCATTTTTACTCTGCAGTGGAAATCGCCTTGGGATTGTTTTCATCCTTTGTGAGCGGCTTATCCACTAGCTTCATCCTTTCATAGTCTCAATATTAACAGTGGAAGTAATTTAATGCTTTTATTTTTTGACAAAAATATGACTTTTAATAACGCCATTTAAATAAGTTATATCATTCACGAGAGACTTGAAAAATGATCTTTTTCTTGGAGTCACCTAGAACTTGCCTCCCGACCTGTAACATGACTGGTCTCTGTAAAGGCATCAAAACCGAAAGCACTGAATTGGAACTTAGGAGACTTGGATTTGGGTCTTGCTCTTTCACTAACTAGCTGGAGGGTTTAATCCTGTGCTTCAGTTGCATCATCTGTGTGACCCTGGGCAAATTACTCTCCTCCTTTTGTGCCTCAGTTTTCTTATCTGTAAAAGGGGATAACAAAAGTGCCTGCCTCTTACCGTTGTTGTAAAGAGTCAATGAGATTATTATTATAAAGGGCCTAGAACAGTACTAGGTTCATGCTAAGAACATATATGTTATCTATAATGCTGTAATAATAATCTGTTGTCATAATTCCTTTATTATCTCACCTTACAAGGCTATAATGAGAACCAAATGACGTAATAAATGTTGTATTAGTGTTTTTATTGCTGCATAGCAAGTTACCACAAATTCAGCAGCTTACAACAACACCCATAGAAACTTGTTATCTCATAGCATAGTTTCTCTAGGTCAGAAGTCCAGATCGAGCTTAACTGAATTCTCTGCTCAGGGCCTCACAACGCTGAAATCAAGGTGTCAGCTAAGCTGTGTTGCTTTCTGGAGCTCTGGATCCTCTCCCAAGCTCACGTGGCTGTCGAAAGAATTCATTTCCTTGTGGTTATAGGACTGAGGTCCCCATTTCTTGCTAGATGTCCACCAGGGTCCCTTCTCAAGAACTAGAGGCTGCCTGCCATTCCCTGCCGTGTGACCCTTTCCATAACATGGCATTTGCTTTCTTCCAGTCAAGAAAAGCATGTCTCACTGGCATCCAATCCCTTACCACTAGATGAAGAAAACTCTGCTTTAAAACGCTTATTTGATTGGGTCAGGCCACCCAGGATAATCTCCCTTTAACCATATAATGCAACCTGATCATGGCTTGATACCTCATCATGCTCACAGGTTCTACCCTCACTCAAGGGGAAGAGATCATATGAGAGTGAGGGTCATGGGAGGGGTGGGGGGTCATCTTAGAATTCTGCCTTCCACAAATGTGAATATGAAGTAAAAAGTAAAAATGATATACAAATATAGAGTGCACATTATTGTAATTTTTATCATTGTCATCATCATGATCATGATATCAACAAATTCTTAACCTCATACAACACTATTCCACTTATTTTCAATGGTTTAAATTAGCTGTAAAGAGTATTCCAATTCATCTAATAATTGTGTACGTCAGAGCTTAGCATTAGTTTTATAACTCCCTGAATTCCTATTCTCTTTGGGATATTTATTTCCCACATTCCCTCTTTTGATCTTTGAGTCACTGAATCATGGCAAGAACAAAGTCCCATGGAGAAATAGTTTTCTATTGGAGTCACCAGTCCATAAAATGTTTAACCGTTATCACCCTTACATATAGGTACCAAGGCTGAAATTCCCAAAGGCCTGGTTTTACTGACTCTAAAACAAATTAAGGAAAAGGTAATCTTTTCCAATGTTTTAATGAAATCTAACCCATGAACTAATATGACAGATTCAGAGATGTTTATTTGTAGGCAGCAAGATTGAGTTTAACATGATCCACATGGCTATGGCTTTGCCATTTGACCAGCTTTACATATATTGTAAAAAGTTCAATAAATAGATAATATAATATAAATATAAAATAAAAATATGATAAAACAATGATGTGGGGAAAGGTTGAAATCAATTCATCTCCCATTAAAATGAAATGGGGAATTTAACCTAGAAATACAGACAGGAAACTTCTGGTATTTTGTTAATACAGTGCCTTCAGGGCAGGGATGAATTCCATATCCATACAGAGATTAGTAAAACTTTTGTACATGGAATAAAGTAGTATTGTATAAAAAAAGAATACAAACTACAAAATACATCTGTGTTCAAAATCATCTCTGCCACTATTAGCAATATGATCATGGATGAGTTACTTTTCCTCACTGAGACCTCCTTAATACAGAGTTAATACTGTCTACTATAGAAGATGTTCTGAGGAGTAAGGGGAATAACCTATGCTGAGTTCTCAGGACACTATCTGGTACATAGCATTTAATAAGTGATGACAATTGTTATAGTTATTATTTTTTATTTTAATTGTGTTTAACATGTGGCCCCATGTCTGGAATGTATTAAGTGCTCAGAAAATATCTCTTTCTTCACCCTTCTTGAATACTTGTTTGTTGAGTTGAGCTGGATCTGTCAAGAGAGTAGTATGGATATTATCAATCTGAAATACATTAAGAGGTTACCCTTAGTCTAACTTTATTTAATTTTATACAATTTTCTTCCTCCCCTCCTTCTCCCTGCCTGCCTGCCTTTCTTCCTTCCATCCTCGTCTTTCTTTCTGCTTTCTCTCCTTCTTGCTTCCTTCTCTTTCTCTATGTTTTTTTCTCAAGCAGATATTATTTTAAATTTCCGAACAACCTATGTCAGCAAGTCTGGCCAGGTTATCTTTGAAGCAAGATCAATTTGCATTCACTACGTCACAACCTGGTTCATCATTGATTTAATCGCTGCCCTGCCTTTTGACCTCCTGTATGCTTTCAACGTCACAGTGGTGAGTAAAGAGCTCCCTTCCACATGACCTTGAAGGTTGGTTTTACCCCTGTGCTTATTTTTCACATGTTCAGGTTTTCCTTGTTTGTGGCAATTTGTGCGTCCAGGATTTTGTGCCCTCTTCAATACAGATGCCAAGGTGACCAATGAAATGCAGGCCAAATTCTCCACTGGAGGAAGTGACTTCCTTTTGAAATTTGCATTACCTGTTTCTAGTTACTTAAATACCTAGAACCAGGATATACAAAAAGCCTGAATTTATTATCAGTCTGACTCACTAAACAAATCCTTTGATAAGGAAACCATCTGTAGGAATATAAGCGTTACTTTATGTTACTGAGGCAGATATTTGCTTTGAGAATTTGGTGGAGAGTTTAAAGATTTCTTCTACGTTTATGACCTTTATGCTCTACCTCTAGAGTATTTCACTATTCATTGGCAAAACAAACAAGACTGATCAAGACAGAGAGAAATGCTGAAATTAAAATAAGAGAATTTAACCACTTCTTGGAAGCCCTTGTAAAAATGTTGGAGGGGGCAGAAACCTAAATGACACAATGACCAATATAAAGTTGAGAGTTCTCTTGAATTTTTGTTGATATTTGTAACGTCTCCTCTTTCTTCATCTAAAGCCTTTATCCTCATGTCTCATCACAGGAAAGAAAATATGCCCACTTTTAGTGGTAGCTATTGTTACTATTTAATCATTGATATTCTTAAAAGCATTAAGCACTCCCCTATAGAGAGAATTTTAGGGAAATATAACAGCATTTTTGGACCAGTGATGCAATTTGCTGCTGGAGTAACCAATTTTAGCAGGTAAAAATTTACCAAACATTAATTTAAATTAAATCTATTTCCTACTCAGTTGATAACCCCCTGTAGAAGTCGTATTCTCTGTCAAGAATTTAAAAGCATAGTTTTCAATATTAAACAAAGTGATCAATGTTTCAAATACATTCAAATACAGAATGAAGATTGAACTGTACTCCTGACTATTTAGTACAGATTTCTGCATTTGTTAATTGCTTGTACGATAGTATTTTTCTTTTCTTTTTCTTTCTTATCTCTTTTTTTAAAAAAAAAGTTGGAAAGTTGAGGGTGTCAATATCTTTAAGAGGTCCATAACTCAACTGAAAGGAAAGCTCTGGAGAAAAATCTGGTGTATAATACCAATCAGTGCTGCACTGAATTATTAACCAGGCTTTTTAAAATACTTTTTAAGATCGAATTTGACTAGATAAGTGTACTGTAATGAAAGCATAATGACTTCAAATAAGGCTTTTGCAAGACTGCAAAAAAAATACCCAAAAGCAGTGTGTAATTCACAAAATGCTGAAAAAAATTCCAAATTCTCCTAAAGAATTGTTAAATAAGTGGTGTTTAATAGACTCTGTTATAAATTAATTTACCCTTTTGATACTGAATACTAGTAATATTTTTTATATTCCATTTCTCTTTGGGTACTGAACAAATAGGATAATTTTAAATGTATACGTTATGTAATTATATTATAAAATATATACAAAATAAAAAATACATAACATATATTTATATATCATCTCATTGCCTAAAATTAACATGGATAAAGGATTTTTTAAAAAGTCTAATTCTCATTTTTTAATGAATTTTAAATACTTGTACACTTTTACTGTACTCCCTTCTTTCTTCATTCTGACTTGTGAAATCTGGCACAATGCTCTATAAAGAATGCAAGGGGTACGTCAATGTCTATATCCGAAAGAAAGAAAATGAGGAAGAAAGGAAGGAATTTCTCTCTTATCTGCTTTTCACAGGGGTGAGCATATGATCATTTAATGAACTGCCATGTAAACTTGTGATTCCCCCAAATAAGTTAGTCAGGATGAAATAGTCTATTTGAACAGAAAAACTTGTTCAAAGTATTATATTTACTTCCTAGGAAAATATAAGTTATGAGAAATAATTTATAAGTTATGCTATTGTTATACTGCACAGACTTACAAAAAGACAGGAAGAAACAAACAAATAAATAACCAACCAAAGGTGGTTTTCCAGATCTAAAATCTGTCCAGTTAGCGCATCTCCATAGATGACATTCAAAAATGCATTGCAACCATCAAAAATGTATTTTATGCTTTAACTTTGGCTTTGCCCACAATTGCTGATGGCAACTGTTTTCTATACAGCTCATTCATTTATTTATTAAAATCTACTGTGTATAAGTCACTGTGAAAGGCACTATGCAAGACAAAATCATGAATGAGGCATAGAAAGTGTGATAGGGTAAAAAGGCAAAAATATGAATCTTAGTTTTATCATTTACCATCTGAGTGACTTCCTTGGAGAAGTTAACATCAAAATAGGCCTAAAATGGGCATAAAAATTCCTGCAGGCTTTCCGAGCAGCCTAAAAAGGCAACATTTCTATAAAATACCTTGTTAAGCGTCTAACACCTAGAAAGACCTCAGTACATGTTAATTAGCTTTCTTCTCTCTCTCTTTCTCCTCCCTAGTTGATAGCCAGGAGGTGTCATGCCCACTTGGTAATATGGGAAACTGCCATTTGATAGGACATCTTGATGAATACATCACTGTCTTGTACCTGTCTGCAAGTAGCTTATAGTTCTCATCTGTGACAAATTTAGAGCAGCATCCCAAGACTAAAATGAATCCTTTCCTTTTTTCAGATTATATATTCCTATTAAAATCAAATATACCTCTTTCTTCTGTCATTCATCAAGAGCCAGAATTCACTGTTATAGTAGAAAGCTATTGACTCAGATGGGAGCAAGCATAATTTAAAAAAAAAGAAAAAATGCCAGCAAAATCACCAGAGCTGCCTCATCCTGGACTCTCAGGATCATGTCCCTTGTCCTTGCAGATGACTATTGTTCTCATGTAAGGGCAGCCCCACATTCTTCCCTCAAACATCCCCTTTCTGGTCAGAGAAAACAGGGTGACTGTCTGCATCAATATTATGTGCTCAGATAGTGTCTTAAACTGCTCAGGCTCATATAACAAAATATTGTAAACTGAGTAGTTTAAATAACAGAAATTTATTTCTCACAGTTCTGAAAGCTGGGAAGATCAAGGTTCCAGCTGATTTGTTTCTTGGTGAGGGCTCTCTTCCTGGCTGGTAGATGGCTGTCTTCTCATTATGTCCTCACATGCTGAGGGAAGGGGAGAGAAAGATGGTGCTCTCTGGTATCTTCTTCTAAGGGCACTAATCCCATCATGAGGACCCCAAACGTGCCCTTATCCAAACCTAATTACCTCCCAAAGGCCCCATCTCCAAGTGCCATCACATAGAGGGTGGGGGTTCAACATGAAATTTGGAGGGACGCAGTGCAGTCCATAGCAGATGTCTTCCTCCATTTGGGACATCTGCTGCAGGTTTCATTACAAAATTGTCTAGCAATTCATCTACCTGTAAAATAAACTCCACCCCCAGTAATTCCTCTAAGCTACAAAGTAGAGATTACAAAGTCCTAGCAGATGATCCTCCAGTTTATCACCTGGAGAAATGATAAATGAGAACTGGGCTATGAAGGAGAAGAAAATAAAACTGAGCACAGAAGAACGACAAAAATAAATAAAAGAGCACAGCTAACTAGCAAGTTCCTCAATTGACCTTATGATTTTATCTTTTTGAGTAGAGAATAATTCACAAGATTACAATTGAACACAATCTTATTGAATGTCTATTGTTACACTGAGCTTGGAGTGTTTTGTATCTTAACTTAATAATTTATCCTTTTATTCATTTAACACTATTTTTCAGCAGTTTTTGTCAGGCACTGTTCTAGGTACATTTTTCTTAGAGATAAGGGGCGATGGCTAGTAGAGGAAGGAACTAGAAGTCAATGACTCCAGCTAATTACAAAGGCAAACTTCCAAAAGATGCTGAACTTGCTTATGATTCTGTCTGTAAAGGAAAAATAGTTCTTAGGTTGGTCATACAAACCACTTCCTTCCACTCTATTTGTGGTTGTCCCCCCAAAATTAGATAAGGTCAAGGAATTTGTCAAACTCTATTTGCATGTAAGTTAATATTTTATTTGCCTTTTCTGTTTTAGAATGCTCTTTGAGGGTGTGAAAAGAGTGTATATTAGTGCACCACTTAGGTTGTTAGTGACATTGACTATTCTGGTGGACACCAATGGTGCACATTTTTCATTTGGGCCCTAAAATCAGGAAAATAACCCCTTAGCTACAAATCTATTGCTTTAGTGCATGCAAAGGCAGGACCTAGGAGATTTTTCAAAAATTTTGTTCCATTTGATTTTGGTTGCCTAAGCATGTTTGTTTGAGAGAGATCAGAAGGTGTACACTCAGGCAAATATCTTCTCTGTCTATTGGTAATGTTAGCAGGAAGATAGTATAGCACATGAGGCAGGAAGTGCTACTGGCACCTTTGAGAAGAACTTACTAAAGTTTTATAGGCCTAATTATTTAAAAAACAAACAAACAAAATGACCTAAGTTACTTTTATTATCGCTTCACAGGCTTCTACTTCAGTCCATACAAATTATTGCTATAAAGCATCTCCCTTTCATGAAGAGGGGAGGTGGGATTGAAAGAAAATGTGTGTAAGGGATGAAGACATCTTACATTCAATCGTGATACCATAATGTGTTTCAATTGTATATCAGGATATGTAAAATTATATTAAATCATCCAGGTAGAGAAAAAAAGATAAATCTTAGTTAAGGAAGATAAATATTTACTCAAAAAAATTAAATTGTCTTATGCTCCTTTGTCTTATCACTTCCTGATATAATATGTCAAGAACAAAGAAATGGTCATAAAAATGACCATAGTACTGGAATAATGATTATACTTAATTTCAAGAACTTTCCAGAATGGCTATAAGCTAAAGTAATGTCATGGCATGAAGTGAACCCATGAGCCAAATTGTGCTACTCTGTCTCCTACCACAGGTGTCTCTTGTGCATCTCCTGAAGACAGTACGGCTGCTGCGTCTTTTGCGTCTGCTGCAGAAGTTGGACCGTTATTCCCAACATAGCACAATCGTCCTGACTCTGCTCATGTCCATGTTTGCGCTCCTTGCACACTGGATGGCATGTATCTGGTATGTCATTGGAAAAATGGAGAGGGAAGACAACAGCCTTCTGAAGTGGGAAGTTGGTAAGGGCTTACATTTGTCGCATTTTCCGTTTTTAAGAAAAAAGGAAGATTGCTTAGAATTTAGAGGAGGTGAAAGATGAGTCTATATGTATGTCCTCTGACTGTCAATTTGTCTCATCTTTTTTGGAGGAGGGGAGGGTCTATGATACAAGTGATTTTTTTTTTTGAGAAAATTTTCTGGAGCAACCTTATATATTTTTTTCAGAGTTATGGGTTAGGCTTTCAATGAGTTAACTTTTCAGAATGACCAGCAAGGCTATAGAAGTTTTTAGATAAGAAATGTGTGACCTTATCTTGATATATCCAATGCAGGGGCAGTAATAGTAAATAACTGGGCAACTGGCCTATGGCCAATCATTACAATATTTTAAATCATAAGAAAATAATCACTTGTATTTGAAGGGGTGAGTTAATAGAAAAGATATCCCTACCATTGTTCTTTCAAAAAGAAACGGAGAGCTGTCATAATGACACACTTTCCACGTTTGGTATACTTTGAGAATTTGTGATGTAGAAAGAACTGGGTATGTACAAATATAATTTGCAAAATTTTGTGTCCCCATTGTACATGGGAGTGTAAGGGAGATTTTCCAAGTGTTACATCATTCTGCATAAATGAATCGGAAACGTTCTGCATGTGAACACCTTTTTTAACTTATGTCAACCAAATGAACTTAATAAAAAATGAAAAGTCTGAAGCTATAACCCTCTATCCTAAAATGTCTGCATTCTTCTCACAGTCATTCCCTTTAGAGAATTGTCATAGTACTCTATGTAGGATTTTTTTGTCGTAATCTGCCATTTAATCCAAAGAATGTGTTTCTTGGTTGGCTAGAAAACTCTTCACTTATCTTCTCCTCCAAAAGTCAATCTTGAACTTTTGAAAGAAGCTCAGACCTTTGCACAGAGGTAAAGCCACAAGGGATTCCCAAGAGATAAAAATGCTCTAACCTTTCATACCAGCACTTAGTGGCAGAATACATTTGGAACATCCCTGGGTTGGCTCTCATAAATGCCACTCTTCCACCATATGGTGTTTACAGAGCCTTCAAAAGGCATCTTTGGAAAATGTGCTGAAGACTTTAAGAAAGCAGGTTCAAGAGAGTGAATCTCCTGCCTACATTCTTAAAAATGCTCCTACACATATCAATTTTGACCCTGAGCTACACAAATCAGCTGATATATTCTGATAATTTTCATCTCAGAATGGTTTTCTTATCTTTTATCAAAGCACTTTTACTGTGCCTTGCTGTGGACCTCAATTCTCAGAAATGAAGTAATGGGAAAAATAAAACTGCAAATTGAGAGCAAAAATATCCCACATAAAGAGAATATGAGATGAGAGAGAGAGAGAGTGAGAGGTGGGGGGAAAGAGAAGAGTAGACTAAAAGGAGGATCAAAATCTAGATTGTACTTGGATTAAAATATTTTCCATCCTTCAATACTGTTTCCCTTTCTATAACTTTGTCCTGAAGGCTGCCCCATCACATGCTCTAGTGTAGTCTTGACGGTGTTCAGTGAATTACAGCGTTAGGTCTCTGACCTTTGTTTTGAATCCATATTAAAAATCTGACTTGTGGTCAGCCACCTGATTCCTTTTGGAACGTGACCTAATTTCCTTTGGGCCCAGACCTGTACACTCATTTTAATTTGTAAGGCTTGTCTAGTCTGCGAGTCTCCAGATGGAGAAATTCAGCTTACTCACACTCTCAAATTTAGTTATATGAGGAAAGCTTTTTGTTTCGCTTCCAACATGCCAGTCCTGCTGCAGACATACAAAATAGCTGTTGTTTTTCTTCCCACAAACATGCAGAGCTGTTTATTTTCTAAGAAAAAAGAAGCCAACCACCTGAACTGCTTCTGTATTGCCCCCTGCCACTCCTATTCTTGGTCCTAGTGTTATGGTTCAGTATAATGAGCTGGGGCTAGTGAGCTGGAAGTCAACCCACAAAGAGAGCATTGGCCTAATAGAATGGTGGGAAGAACATTGGGTTGGGGGCAATGGGTCTCTTCTATCATCATGGCTCCACCACTAACCAACTGTGAGATTTGCAATAATTTTGTTCACCTATCTAGCCTCAGTTTCCTTATCTACAACATGAGAAAACTCGGTATATAGCTTGAAAGTCTATTTCAGGTTCCATGATTTATGACTTTAATGGAAGAACAAACCCAGTATTGTGTACTTAATATACCTATCTATTTTTTATCATAACTCAGTGTCCACATGGTTTCATCAGTAGCAAACTTCTAATGTCAACAAGTTTAAAGAAAAGGGATATTTCAGGAAGTACATTCTATGATCATAGCATGTCAAGTTATTGATATGTTTTACTCAGTTGTGATAAAAATAACTGAACATTTATCTTTAGAGTATTAGATTTCCTGTCCAAACACATTTTGAGATATGATCGGGAAGGTAGTGTTTGTTGATATTGGGTTTATAGGCTTGGCTACAAGGACTTTCCCCTCCCCTAAAATTACTTGCATCATTTATTCATTTGAAACATTCTCCAGCTGAGATTGGACACAAATTAAATAATTACGACCTTCCCTGCCTAATTTTATAATGAAACAGCTGAGAGTCTAGGCTAATTTAGTTTTTACTATGTAATTCGTCCACTAATAATATGTTTTACCTTTTTGAGTCCAATTATAATGAATCAAAAACCTCACTACACAAATAAAACTTGGTTAGAGAACACGTTGGTCTTTATGTTGTGACTAATGTTAGATGTATAGAACAGATTCATCTTCCAAAGGGAAAAAACAGAACATTCCTTTCTTATCATTGTTAATTGCCTCTAAATGATTTTTTTATCCATTTTGTCCTTGGCACCCTACTACTTATAGCTAGAGAGAGTTCCAATACTTTGTATCAGACCAAATCAAAGTTAATCTTTAAACAACGTCATAGTGTCACTTCTCTCTAAGACATCTATTTTTAGAAGGAAGACTACTCCTAGACTAACTATATCAGAGGCTGATTATGAACTGATTTGCCTGGTATTATATTTTACTTTATGTTTTTATATGTTTCTATACTGTATTTTAAGGAATTTGAGATTTGGCTTATTGTTTCACAGAATTTTAGACCTGGGAGGACCTTAGTCCAACTCTTTGATTTTATGGCCAGAAATCAGGCTCTAGGTCACAGAAGCTCCTTGCGGAAGGGGTTGTTGTCTGTTGTGTCCACTGCTGTATTTCCACTGTGGTGTATAGTTCCTGACACATGGCAATTGTGCAAAAAAAAAATTGTTAAATAAATCAATCTTCAAATCATTCAGTTACTAAATGACAATCATTAGACAAGAACCTAGATGTCCTAACTCCTTGTGTAGAACTCCTTCTAATAATTCTGAATATTATGAAATTATAGGGAATGGCTATCTGGCAAATTCTTTCTGGCAGGAAGATTGAAAGGAGAAGAACAAATAGAGTGATCACATAAGATTTGGTCATGCATTCAAAAAATATATTCGAGTGTTCACTGCGTGCTTGGTCCTGTGTTAGGCACTGGAGATACCAGAACAAATAATATACTTAATGCCATGGAGCTTCAAGTCCAACAGGAAAAATAGACAAATAATTCAATGAATATATCACAGTGTGATACATTCTATAACAGGAACATGCATAAAGGAGTGGCAACTAAATCTAACTAGAATATCAGCAAAGGCTTTTCTGCGATGAGCTGAGTTTGAAGGATGAATAGGTCTTATCTCTACAGATGCTGAGGAATGGGCATGTGTGACAGCAGAGACATGACTGCATGAAGCAGCTCACTAGAACCAGCATAAACGGTGAATGGGGGCAGGTGGATGGGAGTAAGGCTATGAACTAAGTAGTTAGGTAAGTAGGTAAGCAGGGTAAGTAGTTAGGGACCAGATCTTTAAAGACTGTTCATGCTAAGCTTTAGAGTTTGGACTTCATCCTAAGGCTACGAGACATAAAATTCTCTCTTGGGCAGTGATCCTTTGAATATAGAACACCGGGAAACAAGGGGAGATGTTTTTCTCTGCTTCATTTTCAGTATCTGTAAAATGCCAATAGTAATAGTGCTTACCTCATTGGGGTTTCCAGTATTAAATTAGGCAATCTATATGAAACATTTAGCACTGGGCCTGGCACCAAGTAACTGCTCAGTAAATAGAAGCTATTTTAACCATGGTTACCATTTCTTTATGACAATTACTTCTAATAAAGAAAGTACTATGAGCTGTGACTGGTGATACCTACCATTTTATATGGGAAGATTATTAAGAAATGGCTTAAAAAGTGTTACCTTCAAGGTTTAGTTGTAGTGCTGGACAACAAATTATATCCTTTTGTGTAATTTCAACATAATGTATTTGCCCAAACTTTTTATTTGAGTCAGCCTCTGAAAAATTAGTAATTTTCACATAGCCTCATAATTGCACACCTATAGGAGATTTCACCTTCAAGGCTAATATGGGAGACAGGTCCAACATCCACCCTACAAGCTTGTTGGGATATATCAAACTTTTATGGAATTTAGATAATGCTTCAAAGGCAAGATTTAACACGTTATTAAAGAGACGCATCACAACTGAGTCAAAGTGTGCTTTTCAAATTTTAATTTCTGTTTTGGCTGCAAAGTAGTGTTACAGAATGATCTCTGTGGGGGGCCTTTATTTGTTTTCTATAAGAACATTTCAATAAATACCCAGCTAAAAATGTGTGAGAAGACCTTGCATGTTTCCTTACATCCCAATTAATGTAGGGATATATTATTTTAATTATTATCACTTAGTAAGTTCAATTAATGATATTCATAAAGTTCAATTAATGACATTGAATTAGTCTTTAAAGAGCTCCATTAGGATCCTGAATAGAATATAATAGTTCTCATTTTAATCTAGAAAGATTCAGATTTGAATCTTGCTTCAGGGATTTACTAGGTCTGTGATTTTGGCCAAGATGATTTCAGTGTGTGACTTTTGATACAACGATCTTAATTTCCTCATCTGTAAAATGGG